TCTATGCCTTCCGATCAGAAAAAGGCAGTCGCAGCATCTGCCTTCAGGATAGCGAATCTATCCCCCCCATTTTTTCCACCTTGCATTGACCCCCCCCTCCTCTATTACCTCCGAAAAACCTCCCACACTCTTCCTCCCTCTCTTTGCTCCTTCCCCTCCTCTTTCCCCCCTCCCCTTTGCCTCGCCCTCTGTCCCCCCTCTCCCCTACCCCCCCCCCTCCCTTCGCGTTCTCCCGTACTATTCCCGCTCTATTCCCTCTCTATTTGTATAAACTTCTCTATTGGACCTTACTACTACTCCTGATGACGTCGCCACTGCTGGCAGCAGCAACCCGTCTAGCAACGTAGCAGCAACCCCTTCTTCTTCTTCTTCGTCTTCTTCTTCTTCTTTTTTAAACAGCAACCTACAGTCTTCCCCCGAACACAACGTACGGTCATTATAGCCAAATTTAGACCAAAAGATACACCAAATTCAGCTATAATGACCGTAGTACGTTGCATTCAGAGGAAGCCTGTAGCAGCAGCCCCTATCTCTACCCTTAGCGCCGTTTCTTCCTCACATTCTTTCGTGATCCGTGATTACCATTCTTGTTTGTATATCGACAAAACTTCCACGGATCCATGCGGATGATCCGTACTTCGCGCGGAATTTGTACTACTATTGAATTTTCGGAGAGATTCTTTCATGCGGATCGTGTAATGTTTTCCCCTCACATTCCTCTTCCACCCACCGCTTCTTTCTATCTGCAGTTCATATACATTTGATTCGCTTTGCATTTTTAAAGATGATTTTTATGTATCTATGGCTCACTAATGTGATCTCTAAATTCTGTATTATTTCGAAAACCTTCTGTGGATTCTTGATTCGTTCTTGCTTCCGTCTACTGTTTCTGGCGCAATGTTTTGAAATATGCTGTTTATTTCACTCTTGATTTTCAAGTTCACGCTGCGGACGCATTTGCAAATTTTTCTTTCTACCTCCTACTCTCAAGGCTCAGGAAAGGGCCAGCAAGCATTGCGAGCTTCCGAATGAAGCCCGAATCATTCTTGGCTCTGAGCGGCTACTTAGGCAACTATCACCAGCCCAAAGCCTGTCTCTTATACACATCTAGATGTGTATAAGAGACAGCCCCCACCCCTCCATTCGATGCACCTCCCAGCCTT